ATCCCCGCGAGGGGCTCGGAAAGCTAGCGCCGTTACAGGATGAGTTTCAACAACGTGGAACGCCTCATACGCATGCTGCTTTTTACTTGGCAGATGCACCAAGATACGGAATCGATGATGACTCTGTTGTTGTCGCTTTTATTGATAAGCATGTGACTTGTTCTTCGACTGGAGCGTGCGCGACTGATTTGGCTGCTCAGTACCATCATCATCTGTCAGATTACTGCCTAAAACGTCGAACAGCCGAAGGGATGCCCAAGTGTCGCTTCGGATTTCCTAGACCTCCGTTGCATGAGACTATGATTCTGCGGCCTCTGCCAGAATGCTTGTCGGACTTTCGGAAGCGAGAGTGTTCTCGGATCTATAAGCGAATCGTGGACGGAATAAAGTGGTTGGAGTCTGATGAAGCTGGTGTTCAAGATTGGACCTGTTTCGAGTTTTATTCTAGGATCTCTCTCTCGCCGGCTGAGTATGTATTAGGTCTGCGTTCACTACTCACCAAGCCGGCAGTGTTTTTGAAGCGGTCTCCAAAGGAGATTCATATGAACAACTACAACCCTAATCTGTTAAAACTGCTTGGAGGCACGAATATGGATTTTCAATTTGTTCTTGAAGCATATGCTGCGGCAAATTATATCAGTTCGTATATGATGAAGACGGATTTCAGGCTGAGCAGAATTTTAGAACAACCGTACGCGGACGCACGACGAGGTAATATGGAGCTACGTCGAGGCATAAGGCACGTCGGAATGGCTCTTTTGAAAGGGCAGGAGGTCTCGGCTCAAGAAGCTGTGTATGGATGTCTGGGATTACCGTATAGATATAGTTCTCGGAAGCACATTTTCATTCCTTATGGTGTGCCGGAGAGTCGCACGTTCGCGATCAAGCTTTACGCTGTCTCCCTGAGGATTCTACGGATTACATTTCTTCTAATATCATTGACAAATACGCCATGCGATTACAAAATTCGAGTTTACAAGGCACCGAGCAGATATCTTTAGCTGATTTTGCTGCTTGGTATGAACCCACGTCTAGCTTTCCGGTTCCAGAGGAGGAAATTAACGACGACCAGGAACCCAGTGTAGAGTGTGAGAAAAGCGTGGAATACGAGTTACCGGCTAGTGCTCGAACTGCTCGCAGCTGTCGTATATATCGAAGACGACATAAGGCGAAAATCATACATTTTGTGGGTTATAAGAGAGCGCAAGATCTAGAGTTGTTTTGTCGTGAGCGAATCCTTTTGTTTCTTCCCTGGTCTTTCGAAGGCGACAGCCTGGCAGTACTTAACGCAGAGGAAGATGGTATTTTGCTTGCGGGTTATGATAGCTTTGAATCTCGATATGAAGCCGAGAAAGAAACGGTAGAAACGACAGCCGCGAATTACAATTATCAAGCCGGGCTCGATTGGGACGAGCTGGAAAAGTACGCTGAAACTCTAGCTGCTGAAGATGCGGAATTATTAGACACGTTTTCTGGCGATTTGCCGCCTGTCAACCCGGGCGCGGAGAGTACGAGAATTCCGCCGGAATCCGCGTCGCCAGCAGAATCAGCGGTGCCAGCGGAATTCACCGTTTCTCCTGATTTCTCTCCGTCAACAGCGTCGGTTACAGAAGAGAGGCTGCCAAGCGCGCAGGTTCTGTTGACTGACGAAGATTTCCGTTTTCAAATGCGCGCACACACGTCAGCCCAGCGGGCATATGTCGACCACGTGGTGCATTGCTTGAAATTTCCGGGGGATCACAAGCTTGTAGAATTTCTCACAGGAAGTGCTGGAACAGGGAAAAGTCTAACGATTCGCTGCATCACTCAACTGGTGGCGCGAACTTTCAGTGGTGCTCTAGGTTTGCATTCGTCGTCTCTGAAAGTTTTGCTTTCTGCGTTCACCGGAAGTGCTGGTTTCAACATAGTTGGAGTTACGATTCACTCCGCGTTCAGGATTCCCTTATATGCAAAACTGGAGACATTTGTGCCCCTTGGTGGTGAACGAAAAGCTATTCTCAGAGATGCTATGTGGATTTGCAAGGGGACGTCGTAGATGAAATTTCTATGACGGGTACGAAAATGCTACAAATGATCAATTATAGAATGCAGGAGATCTTCGAATCCTCCAAAGTCTTTGGGAGTATGCCAACAATTTTTGGGGGAGATCTGTTTCAATTGAAGCCGCTGTGGGACGGGTATTGTTTTGAAGGAATTTGGAAAAAGGGTGTACTAATAAGCAACATTTGGGAAGAAAACGTTCGTATGTTCGAACTTGTTCAGATCATGCGTCAACAAGGTTGCCTGGAGTTCGCTGAGGCGTTGAGCCGCTTACGAGTCGGGGAACACACAGCTGCAGACCTCGCGTTATTTGGAACTAGAGTCGTAGACCCGTTAAATCTACCCGTCGAATATTCACCTTTTGACAGGCACATTTTTGCAACACATAAGAAGAGAGACGCACATAACGCTTTAGTGCTGCGCTTGACCAGAGGGCCCGAATTCACTTTGCGTGCCAGAGATGAGGCCTTATCATGTGGCGCGTCTTTCCGCGAGCAACAGCATTTTATGACCAAAGCTGAACAGATGCCAGATACGCAAACAGCGACTCTATATACACTTCTCAGTCTTAAGGTTGGTCTCTTGATTGAAGTCACTTGTAATATTGACATCCCGGACGGCTTATATAACGGGGCGACCGGGTATATTCGTCACTTTCACGATCTGGGCGGTTCCGATCCACACGCTGTATGGGTAGAGTTCACAGAAAGTCGAATCGGAAAACGTTCTCGAGAGCAATCATCTAATTTGTACCGTCTCTGCCCTTCTGTGGATCCTATTTGGACACCAATTTTTCGGCTTTCTCGTACGTTTCAGGCAACACAGAGAGTTGAAAGTACCGTGTTACGAACTCAATTTCCGCTTCGCCCCGCAACTGCGGGGACTTTCCATCACACTCAGGGAATGACCGTGCGTAAGGGGGCTCTGGATTTCAGGGGTGCTTCTAAGAGTCATGTTGATGCGGAGCGCCATTATGTAGGATTAAGCCGCTTTCCCGATCTGCAAGGACTACTGATCTTGGATCCGGCTTTTGAAGAGATATTGGTAAGTCCAAAGGTAATTACGGAAATGGCACGGCTTTGTCAACACGCTTCTGTCATTCCTTGCATCCCGTACGTGCCACTCAGTGACGGAAGTGACCGACAATTGCACCTGATTGTGCACAACGTGCGTTCTTTCCGTTTGCACGTGCCGGACATCTTTGCTGACGTCAACTTTACCCGCAGTCACATTCTTGTGTGTACAGAAACTCGGACGTTGCCAGCGTGGCCGCTAACTGCTCTCGTTCAATCAGACTTCAACGTGTTTCGCGCTGAAGCCGATACTTCAACTAGGGATGGATTTGATAACGTTCTGGTTTGCCTTACGACTCAGGACAGCTCTTTAAGTGGCACTTTCCATTCTGCTTTCTCTGATTTCAACACGCAGCTGTTGTGCATACACATTCGAGGGCGACCAAACCCGGATCTTTTTGTAATCTCTGTATATAGATCTCCCTCTGATTTTCTAGTCAGCAGATTTCTCGACAATCTCAGAGTGTTTATCGAGCAAATGGAACAGAGATCTTTAAAGGCGTCTCCATCCGTCGTATGCGCAGGTGACTTTAACATCAATTTGCTGAAACCTTCACACGAAGCCCAACAACTCGTAGATCTGATGACTTCTTGCGGAGCATGTTTGCTAAACTCGCTACCGACAACTAACCAAGGTACTTTGCTTGACCACGTTTGGGTATCTGCCGACTTAGCACGTACATGTTCGGCAAGAAACTTAGAAGCATATTGGAGCGACCACAGCCCAATTCATGCTACATTCCAGTGGAACGGAGGCGCTCAACAAACTTCAGCGTGAACTTCTGTGGACATGAGGTAAGTACATAGATACACGTGCTGAACTTTTTTGTGGAGTTTAGGCTGTCTTTGCGCTCACTTGTACCGCGCCTGCAGACCGTTTGTAGATTTCTAAGGTACGCTGATCATTGCATACTCATGTGCTTCCAATTAAGAGCGACAAAACCACGCTCGAGAATAGGATTTCGCGCTTTTGTTCCAATCGAGCTTTTAGTTTCTGAACTCGATTGGTCGATTTCTGTCACACCTAGTTCGTCATCAGGTAGCAGTCTTTATGACGTGCCCCAGGCCGCGCGCGCGAGAATTACGTAGGTGCGCGCGCACTGTCTGTGCTCAAGGTCTCTGATTTCCGCATCGTCAGTGGATACAGTGGTACGTGGGGGGTGTATTATATCTTCGACTTCTGCGACCTCAACAAACAAACATGCATGGACATTTGCGTAAGCACTGTGATTTCGGCGACTTCTCAGATGTCTGCCAACTTTGCAGCATGCAAACCTTCCGATTGACACGTCGGCATCTTAAGAGAAGCTCCTCCTTTCCGTAACTTTTGTGACTCCAATATCTCCTAAGCAAAGAAGCACGACTTCTTCGACGCATGCTGCTCACAGTCAATTATCCTAGCTGACCTCTTTATTCTCAAACAGTTCACTCGGCCTTCTCAACCTTCTAGTAGGCACAAGTTCTTTGCTTGCTTCCACTTTCTGCTTCCTACGATTCCGTGCAAGTAGAGCAATAGCCAAAAAGCTAACAGTGTAGCAAGCAGCCGCGCAGGGTTTAACACGAAGCACGCTGCTCTGTAACTCTCGCTGCTGAGCATTGCTTAGAGCACGACCCGCGCCGGCCACAATGGAGGTACCCACAGTAACCGTGAAACAGATTGAAGAATTTCCGGTAGACTCGAGCCTGTTCCAGGTGCATGCCAGGGTAGTTGACCTTGACAGCCCCACAGAAAACAACGAGCCTAGAGTCCGCGAGCTTCCGTTCGGGCATCTCTCAACCATGGCTGCAGTCCTTCAGGATAAGGAAGGAACCAGAATAACGCTGGAAGCCACGAGCAAAGATAAGAGCTTTGTCGAGTATGTCAGCGACAAGTGCGAGAAAGAGAGCACAATTCTGCTGTACAGGCCGACTGTGGCCTCGTGCAGGTACGCATGCAAGAAGTCTGGGTCTTCTGGGAAGAACCTTCTTTGCTGAGCTTGTGCATGCTTCTTTATTCCCTCTAATATTTTCCTAGGAACAGCAGTTTGTTGAAGTCGGTGCTCTATTGTGTTGACTCTATAGGCCGCAAAGATGCTTGCTGTATGCGAGACCCTATCGCCCATCGACTTCAGCGTTTATGCGTGACATAAAAACGCACTCTAGCTTTGGTGCTTAAGAAGTTGCTTGACTGTTTTATAGCAGGCAGCAATTTGAAACTTATTGCGACGAACACATACTAATTGCATCTTCTTTTTTCCAAAATTGCGATGAAGGTACTCTCTGACAGATCATCCGACGTCTCTGAAAGTGGTGGAAGATCGCACGGTTATTCTGGGCTCGAGCGAGCACATCGATACAGTGTCGGAAACTTCCGTCAGCTTCGGCGCGCTCCAGCCCGGCGGGGTGAGCACTAAGAGAGATTACCGTTGATGGAGTGGCGCTTATGACTTTCACACTGATACGACCTAATGCACGTAACGCTTTTTGTTTCTGTTTCTGTTTTTCCCAGCTGTCTACTAATCCAAGAACCATACTGCTCTCCAATCTTCTGTGCCTTTTTTGAAACTGTTCTGAGACCACGCTTCGTTGTTTCCTTTCGCTTCTTTGTTTCTTAATTGCCCAAGAACTCCGATGCCCTCTAGTCGTTGCGTTCTTCTTTGAGATGATTCGGAAAGCTTCTCCAATTGAGTAAAGGATTTACGCGTAGCTCCCGAATTCTGCGTGCGAGTACTGTGCTCCTTAAGACTGTCTTCAGACGACCCCGCTTTCAGCACATCGCGTAACAAAACGCTCGCATACAGAAGAATCATTTTGGAAATCGCGTATCATCTGCTTCACAATCAGCGCCGCATCTTTTCCGTCACCTTTGGCTGGCAAGCTGATTATGCACCTTTTCCCCAGAAGAACGTGCGAGTTCATATGAAAGGAGCTAAGTAAGATCACTGCTGTGCTCTGAAGAAGTCGACAAGTAGCACTCACGTTCACATGTTTTGGCGTGACGCAGGTGCACAAAGTCGAAGGCCTGCTAATCTACAAGAGTCGTATCTCAACGCCCACGACAGCCAGGGGCGACCGTGACGTCATGAAAATCGTCATCAAAGACATGAACGGGATCATGGGTGGGATTGCGATCTCGGGCGACATGGCGCACCTTCCAGAGCTGAAGAAGCTCAAGGTTCGCGAGGACGTCGTCGTGGTCAGCGGAGTTCAGTATGATCAAGATCAGGGCTGCAGCAGTACCAGAAAGTGAGTCTGCTGTCTTCTCCGGCACTCCCATACTTTGCTGATCTTATCAGAATTGATTGTTGATAAGGTGTTTCTAGTAATAGACCACTTTGTTGATTCTGGCGGACCTCGTGCGACTGAAAACGGTAACAAAGCAACAAAGCAGACTTGACGTTCTCTTCCTACTGCTTTCGAAGACCGCAAAAAAACTTTGGTGGAACAGACTGGTTTGCTATTTCTCTAATGCTTTCAATGATCTTCAACTCACTCACACGTTGCGTCAAAAATAATTTGCGGCCTTCCTCACTGTCTTGTCGTAGATGCATTGAGATAATGGAAGAGTCGCAATCTTCGAATGAGCAACTCAATGAATTACAGAAGCCGAGTTAATCGGGGTGTCACTGACATTAAACCGTTTGCCTTTCTCCACAGCACTACGATTGCTCGAAGCGACGCGAGCGCACCTGCTGTAGCCGGGATAGGGCTGACTTACCGGGTGTGCACCGTCGATCGGATCACTCCGTGGGCTCGCGACGTCCAGTCACTCGCGGGAAACAAGTGGACGACCATGACGGCGCTGGCAAGCTTCACCAACCTCACCAAGATTGACTCCATCGGATATGCAGCTCAGCCAGCCGCAATCCGGTGACGCACGAGATGTTCTGCGACCAAGGCTGCCAACCGGGCCCGCTGGAAGACGCGTGCATCAAAGTCACGTTAGGGTGGATGCCGGACGTAAGCTTCCATTCCGTGACCCTTACGTTTGTCCGGCTGATTCATAGATATGCAACTTTTACTGTCGGTCGACTTCTTACGCTTCTTCGCTATAACAGATGCGACGAACTAGACCGCTGAGAAAATTTTCTGAAAGGCGGCAGCTGTACTGCGCGGCCGCGTGCGCGGCGCTTATCGGCTGCCACGTGGCGTCCTGTATTCCGGCGTTCATGCACACAAGTATTAAAAACATACAGATCCCGCTTTCATTCGCCTTCTCACGTTTCTCCACTGTATCAGACACAATAAGCTGGATCCTTTGAAGAAAATTCTGAAAGGCGGCAGCTGTACTGCGCGACCGCGTTCGCGGCGCTTACGGCTGCCACGTGGCAAACTGCATTCCGACCCTCGTTGTCACCCACATAGCTATTTAGGACACATAGCTCTCACCCACGTTCGACTGCTTTCTTGATTCTCCGCTGTCTCAGATGAAACAAACTAAATCGTTTGAAAAGTTTTTGAAAGATGCTAGCTACACAGCGCGGCCGCGTGTGGCACGCCTGTCGGCTGCCACGTGGCAGATCACGTCTCGGCGCTCGTTGCTGAGCACACAGCTGTTTAAGAACTCAATGTTTCTTCTTAGACCCAAGCGGCCATCCGATCAGTTACTTCTCCTATTTCATGCACTTCTGTGAAAGCGAGCGTTCTTTTCGATCTATACTTCTAGTTTCAAAGTCGAAAACTCTTCTACGCTTCCTCAGTCAAATTTCTCTTCTTACAATTACCGCAGCGGATGTGCTGTCCGTGAAGATCTGGCCGAACGAGTTCGCGCTCGTGACGGGCGCGCATCTGAAGAGCTTCTCTGCCAAGCCCCCGAACGAGCAACTGGAGAATCTGAACACCCGACTCAAGAATCGCAGCTTCGCGATGCACCTGCGCATCCGCGAGAACCCGAATACCCAGTACAGTCAGTTTCAGGCCAACGTGATTGGTCTCGAGCTGCCTCCGGAATTCCGCTTTTTCAACAAAAAATACAAGGCAGAATAAAGCAATCCAACTATAGCAGCCTAGATTGTGATTACGTCAGATAAGATTTGTGGACAATTCTGGTATGGGAGGAGAGCAATAAGTGCAAACCTTTCCAAACAGATGCATAGTGTGCGCTCCAGTTTGGAGAACACGAGATACTTGGCCTGGTTAAATCCGTAAATTCTATAAGCTAGGGTGTAGAACTATTACTTCAATCTTTGCTATTCACAAAAAATGATTTACTAAAAGTGATTCATTAGAAAGTGCAGCGTACATAGCGGAGCTCAGAGCACTCGTGTAACATTTGAACTTGTTCTGGAAAAGTGAGCGCAATTTGGCTTCATTTGCATTTAGATAATTCTATACCATAATTCAATGCATGGCTCGCACGCACAAGAAACCAGATTATATTGCATCCAGGAGGTGAATGACGCAATTGTGATAAATGCACCCGTTACAAGATGTCTGTCGAGCTATCGGCTCCATCATCTCCTTTGCAAAGTCGAATCTGCATGCGCGTAATGTGGCAAGGATTCAAGAGAAGCGAGTAGGCCCAGAACTGCCGCAAAAGGTGGTCGAGCAACGCCCAGTCCTGTGGGCAGTTTGCGGGACCAATATTCATAAATGTCCCTGCTTTCGTCTCCTATTTCCACATGACACTCACCCACGAGAGCGTTGACCCAGCAGCTTCTTATACACACTTTTAGCCAATAGCAAGCATCCGCAACTCACACGTACATACGTGGCCGTCTGAGCAACGACAAGAGCTCGCCTCTTTTGTGAATATTTCACTGATTTCGCACGAATGGTAGATGCTCCATGAGAGTCATATGCTGACTTATCAAGCATCCGGAATCATTTTTGCATTAGGTCTTAGCTATTTCAACTTCCAACATACATATCAATTCAGCGTGGAAACTGAGAATGGATGAAATAAGAGCCACAGTGAATCTCGTGGTTGCATTCGAACACTGGTTCGTACGAGTAAAACAGTCTCTGAGACGTTTTCGAAATGTTTTTGATCTGCTCTCAAGCTATGGCGATTTTGCGTACTCGATTATTGCTACTACTGCTGTGATCTGACGGCTTTGAGCTTTCTGGATCCGTAGTTGAACCTCTGCTGACTGTCGGTGTGCAGCCAGATGTGCAGCTTGACGGCGCTCGATGATGGCGTTGGGCGAGTTTCCGGGCTGAGAGCGTAGCCTATGGAGTAGATCTTCTGCCTGCATAAGATGAACAAAAAAAACTGAGCGTTTCATACTGTGAACGTTGCTTTCAATCGCGCTATCAGATAAGCCGTACTTCAAAGAATGCCAACGCTCTTCACTTAGTCATCGCCTCCACTGGATTAGCTGTGCCTATCCGGGCGCGTCCAACTTCCGTCATGGGCCGCGCTCTAACACTGACTCTTGTTATACAGCAATTCTTTGTCTTCAGCATTCGTAGAGGACTCAGGCTTTACTGATTGTTCAGAAACGAAGCTCACTTCACGAGTGACCCAAGTGAACGGCAATGAAGCTGCCTACTATCCGTTAAAGTTGATATGTTAACGGCACCAGAAGAAAGAAGATAGAAACAAGCCTGATTGTATCTTATATAAGGAAAGTGTGACGATTCGAATCTATGAATCTTCATATCGAACTCGTCCC